AAAAAAACATTCTAACATAGCTCTTACATCTTGTTTTATTCTAGTACCATCTCTGTTATCTAATTTTTGGCTACTTTTTAACACCCACCCTTTAGTTAACAGAAATCCTACATCTATTATACTACAGTAAAAGTCTATTAACAAGTGAAATAATTATAATATTTATTAGTTTTTTTATACTACATACCTTGGAATTGTGATTAAAACTATAAAATCTAGATAAATTTATTAGATATTTTTGAATGAAAGATAGAAAATATAATATATACATATATTAGAGCTATATTACTTACTATTATTTATCGTATTTTCTCTTTCATTATTTTGATCCAAATCCGTTTCATCTTTTAGTTTCAAGCAATTAGAACTATTTGTATATAAGATTAGTAATATAGATATGGTTCTTATCTTCATCATATTCTTCTTTAACTAGAGTAAGTGAAGTATACTAATTTAGATCTAAATTTGAGAATTTGTTGAATTTGTTTGAACAATGTGTAATACTCATTAGGCCTTGTATTTATTAGAATTGTCTATGTAAATTTTGGTGTCGTATATTCTGATTTTGTTGGTTGTGGCTTATGAAGTAGAGTATTCAAAAACTGATTTAAGTATGCGGGAGAAAAATTATTCTATTCTTCAAAATGAAGCAGTGGACATGCACGAATATATCCAATATGTCTACTCTCTACAAGCTATTTCCAAAAGAACAATTTAAAAATTCCTTTAATTGTCTTGATTTTTGTTTTTAGTTTTTTTGATTTTATATTTTTATTTTCTTTAATAGTTATATCATTGCGATCTAGTTCTATGTTTGCTATTGAAGTTCCTGATAAATTTTTGGCCATCTCACAAATATCATTTTTAGTTTCTATATTGTATCTGATTTGTAAGTATCGTTTTATAGCATGTGTTATCTTTAAAAAATAGTTATATATTAGACTATATACTTAAATGCAGAGGTGTTGACAAAAGTTTTAAGAGATTATGAAATTTAATTTGTGATCATATAGAAGTTAGATATGACTAGAGTGGCCACTGATTTTATGAGTCAGCTGGGTAATACCACCTGCAGCATTATTGCAAATGAATCAGTATTAGATCTATAGCACTATCACTATCCTGCATTGTATATTAATATTGGTAGTGATACCCACATGATCTATAAAATCGGTAGCCGCTCTGGTTGTATTTAGAAGTTATTCGATTATCTTTCATAATAGTAGATTATTTGTTTTAATTTTTGAAAAGTGAAAGATAGAAGATGGATTAAAAATATGAGTATAATAATTATAATAATTAGACAATTACTATGCGATATAGGCTATTTTGATATAAGTTTAATTATTGAAATTGCTAATTAAATTTATGATTTTTGGTATTTATTTTTTTTTAAAAAAAAAAGAAAAGAAAGAAAATACTAACTGCTGCGTGATGTGAATCAATGGTTGTTTTTGCTTCTCCAGGTTCTAAAAACAACTAGCTTTGAACCTTAATATTGTACTATTCGTGCCAGTATCCAACAATGGTTATTAGTTCAGAGTTATGGTAATGAGGACTATTATCAGATATTACCTTTATCTATTTGGGTTTCTGTCTATTGTCTCAAAGACAACATCAAATGCTGATACTGTAAACCAAGCATCCTGCTTGGTATCTGCTGACCAGTGATCGTACGCTTTAATATCTATTTCAGTTTTATTTTTTTTAGTAAAAACTAAAATTGTGTGCAAAGTCCAACCACGCTTTTCAAAAAAATCTTTTTTTGTTTCACATGCAGATTTAGGTAGAATACGTATTTTATAATCTGCAATAAAAAGCACACCATCAGAATCAAGCTCAGATAATGTTGTTTTAAATTGGGTGTTCAAATATACTTTTCACATTTGATGTGAAAAGTAATATAATAATTGTTCTCTGCATTCTGTGATTTGTGGATGAATAGTTTTAGGTGTTGAATTAATCAAAAAATCCATGAAGTCAAACAATTGATCACAATTAGGACACCTTGTTTCATGGTTGTAAATGCATTCACCAAATGCATAACACAAATAGTAGGAAATGCATGGATCATGCTCAACTTTACCATCTGCACTGACCATTAATTCTTTCTCATAACCTCATCTCATATATCGTTTAAGTATTTCGAGGCTTTTCAAATTTTGGACTAATACCATTTAATAAAGTAATTAATTACAAATTAGTAACAATATAATAGTCATCTTTTTTTTATTAAAAAATATTATAATATATAAACTAATCTTATCATTTTCATTTATAAAATTATTTTGTATAATGTTTGTTAAATTTTTAAAAATTTCATATCTATAATCATTGCAAATTATGTATAGCCCACCAAGGTCCTCACAGTATTTAAGGTTTGTAGAATTACTCAGCCGTACTATGAAAGTAGTTCTTTTCATACCATTTGGATAAGTTTCATTAAACTTTTTCTATAGTTCACTTTTATTATCACTTAAATATAGAATCGGCAATTCTATTTTTAAATCCACATAGTATGAGCTCATTTTAACATTATCTTTATCTTGAAAAATAATAAAAACTGATTTTCTTGAATATCAGAGAATCGATAAACGGTTCTTATGGGTTTTTATAAAGGTGGTGCGTCTGGACCATAAAGTAGAGCATATTTTCTGGCTTTATTTATTGTTTCAGATCTAATCTAATGAATATAAAATTACGATTAATATTTAGAAAATTTTAAATTTGATTTATCTGAAATTGTTGAAATAAATGAATTCGATTTAAAAAATCAGATAAAGTATGAGGTATGCAAATATAAGTTCAGAGAATTGATCAGAAGGTTCGGGTATTTTTGAGATTTTAAGTCAATAAAACTAAAATCTCAAAATATTTCAGACTTTGAAATGAAGATGGTTTTACCAAAAGTTTATATGTTATTATTATTACTTATTGCTAATTCTTTTTTGAGAACACAGTATTTAAATTTCAGGGCAATAATTGAAAGAATACGAATTTTACCATCTGACCCTCTTTTGTTTGAAAGCATGGTGTCTCTAAAGCTATTCCAGAATGTTGTATCTTGCAGATACGGTTCTGGTACTGATACTGAAATTTTTTTTTTTTTTTTTGGTGTTAAGGTGAGGCCTTGCTCATATCTTTATTAATAATTTTTAAAATAGTTACAAT